GGAGAGGAAACGAAGACATCTGCAAACAGCTGCGTTAGTGCAAGGAGTACTATATGTAACCACTACCATTCCATTTCTTCCTAGTATACATTCTCTCGTCGAGTTATCTTCTGTTTCTTCAATATCAGTAAGACAATCAACAAGTTCGAAAGTACTTTCCAGTGAATACTCACATAAACCATTACGAATCGAGCTCAGTATTCCAGCTAACCATTTCGCCAATTTTTGTATGAAAGACAGATATATTGATAAGGATATGTATTATTATTATTATTATATTATTAGTCCCTTGGGTTCCTAGTGGAACATAGGGCTTCAGTAGCACGTCCCCATTCCACTCTCTTCTCTGAAATCTTTTCAACCTGGTTCCACGACAGCCCACAACCTCTCATTTCCTCCTCACACCATCTCCTCCATGTCACCCTCAGTTGGGACGTCCAACTCGTCGCTTCCCATGGGGATTCCACTCGAGTGCCTGGCCTGACGCGTGATGCCCCAGTCGGCCTTCTCAGTGTATGCCCAAGCCATCTCCACTTCCTTCCAGTGCATATTTGTTGCGTGATAGGTTCTTGGTTGGTTCGTTCCCAGAGTGAGTTCCTTGTTGCTTATTCTTTCTGGCCATCTGATCTTCAGTAGCGAGCCAGCGTAAGCAGTTGTTGATGAATGTGTGTAGTTTGTTGGAAATCCCTTTCGTAACGCGCCAAGTCTCTGATATGTAGTAGATTATAAAATTTATGAATTTTCGGAAGTCTATATAGATCTGAAAAACTAGTATCCATTGGTTTAAGGCAGTTGAACTCCACTATAGCAACAACATCCCTATTAAAGAGTTTAACTAGACTAGTTGTTACTTTTCATTCTAATTTTCTTATATCCTCTGATAAAACATCCACCATGAATTTACTTTCATCACAATGAATAGACAACACATTTTATTTTTGTAGTCTACTTTGTTCATCAATACAAAACCTGATCCTTTATCAGGTTTAAAAATGATCACATCAGGATTATTCTGTAAATTTTCCAAGGATTTCAAATATTGTGTAGTTAGCTATTAGTTAACTTCAGGTCCTGTTGTGTGTACAAATACAATTGGTTGTTTCTTTCACTTAATTTACCTTGGTAATCCTTATCTGATTATTTAATTACCAAGACTAGTGGGTCACAACCTATTCACCTATTCATTATAATTGACCTTTCATTTTCATATAAAAATTGACTTGAGACAAGTAAATGTGTAAGGGATCAGATTGTTCGAAATGTATTCGGTAAATACATCACACATATATTGTTCACATAATCTTCATCTTCTAATAACCTTTATCAAAATTTATAAAAAGGACTAATTGTTTTAAAAGCAACTAAAATGTAAACTAACTGATAGGTATGAAGTAATATAAGTCAATGATAGAGGGAGATAGCCGAGAATACAACGAATACAACAAAAATCGATAATTATTTATTGATTATTTATTCCTTGGGTTCCTAGTGGGACATATGGTTTCGCTACCATGTCACCATTTCATTCTCTTCTCTACAGTCCTTTCAACCTGGCTCCACAACTGCCCATTACCTTTCATTTTTTCACCATTGCCTAGAAGATTTCATTTCATAATCACACCATCTCCTCCATGTCACCCTCACCTCCAACGTCCAACTAGTCGTTTCCCATTTCGGTCCCACTCAATGGCATGGCCTGGCCTCGCCTGATGCATGATATCTCAAAACCGCCTTCTCACTCTATGTCCAATCCAATCCATCTCCACTTTCTTCCTCTCCATATTTGTTGGGCGATAGGTTCTTAGATGGTTGGTTCGCTGCCAGACAACCACAGTTCCTTCTTGCTTATTCTTATTATTCTCTCCATCCATCTCATCGATCTTCAATGTCAGTATCGAGTGAAGGTAGGCGGTAGCTGTTGATAATTTATGTTTGCAGTTTGTTGGAAATACTTTTTGCGTTACGCCCGCCAACTCTCTCAACCATCACATAGAAGCACTGACCGACTTGACTGAATCAGTGTTGAAAATCCGGATCATGTTCACGCTTTATGCTGAGTGCAGTGCAGTAAATCTCCACACTGATTATTTCAGATTAATGAAGGCCTGTTTTGCTTTCCTGGTCCTGGCCTTGGCATCCTCATTCAACATGGATCGTTAATATCCTCAGGTTATCTACAAACATATCATACATATGGATTCTAGAAATTTGATAGTTACCAGCAAAACTTCGATGGGGTGGGCAAAAATCAGTCACTATTAAAGTGTAACAATGATAACACCACTTTCAAACACGAAACAATCAGAACAAGACATATAAACGAACAATATTGTTTTCAATTAGATCCTTCTCAGGCTTTACTCTAATATAAATAGCTTAATATATATAGAATTTATACCAATCATGTAGATTCGTCGGTTGATGTGATAAATGTTTTGAGATAACGATGGTGATAATCATACTAATACTACTACTAATAATAATAGTAATGTGATAATGTTGACAAAAGCACATGCAATATAGATGACTATAATGATGATAAGAACCAAGAAAGCGGCATGAAAATGCAGACACTCCGATAATCGAAATGGGTCAGAAGCTTACGAAAAGTTACGTAATAGTGAAGGGCAAGGTAAGTGGATAAACAAAACTTAGACAAATACAGTAAGTATACGAAAGAGGTGAAGAGTAAGAAAAGGGGGATGGAAAAAAACTGAATGATAAAGTTACTAGCTAAGTATTCCCTGGCCAATGAGAGATAATGGATGTACAAATTTCTTCTGGATTATTAGCTGAAATTCCCACAGCTTCTGCTATGTGGTGTAAGAGACGAGTTTGAATACCTTTCGAAAGATGAGATGATATGCGGTGTATAATCGTGAAAGCAATGTTCTTATCCACTGAGTGACCACTATCAACGAGGTGAGATAAAAGTGAGCTTTTGATGGATTTAATCTGTGCCTCTCTCAACCATGAAGGTAGAGGCTCAGCAACACGTTTGTTAAATTGTCTACTAGTACGCCCCATATAATAATTATATATATATATATATATATATATATATATATATATATAAAAGCTATTTGTATTATAGTAAAGCCTGAAGAGGATCTAGTTGAAAACAATATTGTTCGTTTATATGTCTTGTTCCAATGTGCACCTGAATGGCTACAAAAACAAATGACCTCAACAGATCCGATAAGTACAGGTGACAAACATCCATCTTCATCTATCGTTAAACATATACTAGAAACTAACCATAGGATAGACATGAAAACAGCCTTTAGAGTACTAAATAAAAGTGGTCAGGGGCGAGTGGTTACCTTTATTCAAGCCCTTGCCATCCGCAAATTCGAACACCCCTGACTTAATGTATACAAAAACAATTTGTACTCACATTGAACCTACCTTGGTGGTGTATTGATTTTAATTTTCATACCAAGAGTAAGGTTTTTTTCTCTCTCTTCTCATTCTTCCTATGTTTCCTACTACCTTCATTGACCCTATATGTAAATTTTCATATAAGTAGTTCAACAAGTCCATGTGTGATCAGATTGTTCGAAATGTATAGCGCTAATACACCACGACATAGTTCAGATAAGCTTCGTCTTCTCATTACGCTGTTTAAATTTTCCAAAGAGAGAAGTTATTACTACCCGGTGGTCGCTGGTTCGAATCCCACCACGGTCCAGATTTTCACCTCACCTTCAATCATCACCCCGTACAAAGTATTACTATTTATTGACGTAATTGGAATTCTCCGTTGTTTTATTGGAACGAATTGTTCGACCCCTATTAGCATATGGGCTGCTATGCGGATGCCTCGATGTTGCCTTAATGTTAATTAAGGCAATTTGTTTGGTTGTGACTGGCGGAAGAATCCAGGACGCGCGTTTCGTCCTACTTGGGATACATTGTACAAGAAGTGGCTATCGTTCCTCCGTGGCATAGTAGATAACGCCTTGGCGTTTGAGGCGATGGGTATGAGGTTCAAGTCTCAGTTGGAACAACATCACTCACTGAAGTGCAGGTACATCCAGATGACGAGTAGGACGAAACGTGCATCCTGGATTCTTCTGCTAGCCACAACAAAACAAATTACCTTAAAGCGACAAGTTGACTTAAGTTTATCATTGAGTTTTTTTCCTACTCCTTTTGTATTCTTCACCCCTTACATACACTTACTATATTTGGATTTGGGGTTTGTGGGGATTTAAAGATATTTTTTTCAGTTGGTTTTCATCATGGACTGACATCAGTTGGAGGAACATTGGAAACTTGAGAGAACTGGAGAGTTGTTTCGTCCTAGCACGACACTCCTCAGCAGTGCACATCCACGACCCGGGGATATTCGGATTCCGTGGCCAGCACCTTACCATTGAGCTAGCCATCGAGTCGGAATCCAACGGTCCATATTTCCAACTTCTGTCAGTTCATGGCGACCGCCCTCCAATGTCATCGTTGAGTATTTGTCCTCACGACTATCAGGTTTGCACCATTGGAACTTCAGGAATTACCTCTGGAAGCTGGTCACCAATGAGGACTAGTTCAATTGATGTCTGTCCATGATGAAAATCAACTTACTATATTTGTTTGGAATTTGTTTATCCACCTACCTCAATCTTTCGGATTACGTAAATTTTATTTCCTCAAACTTCTGACCCAGTTTGATTATCGGAGTGTTTACATCTTCATGTTGCTCTCTTGGTTCTTATCATCATCATCATCATCATCTACATTTCATGTGCTTAAGTCAACGTTATCACTTTTATCATTACCATTATTATTTGTATTATTATCACCTTTGTTATTTTAAAACACTTATCACACACATTAACCAAGAAATCTACATGATTGGTTTAATTTCTATATATATTAAGTTATTTATATTAGAATAAAGCCTGAAAAGAATCTAATTGAAAACAATATATCGTTCACTTGTATATGTCTTGTTCTCGTTTACAAAACAATCAATCAGAAACACAAAATTATTAACTAACCCATTTGAAGAAGTCATTGTCTCAATCGAAGAAGAAGGATATTCTTCATAGATCAACCGTACATCTTTCAATATTACTAAACTGTAATTTGATGGTATAACAAAAGGATGTATTTCATCTGATCCATTCATTACATCAAAAATCAAAGGAAGAGAAATGAAATTATCATCGGCGGTAACATGACAAGGTATACTCAAAGTATTCCTCTGTACTGATTGAAAATGAAAGCAACCTTGTGTATTACACCAGACGATTTGTCCAATAAGAAAAGATTCAGGAAGTGGATCAGAATAACTTATGCGTATCAATAGATAACTGTTTTCAACTATTTCACAGCCAAGTTTCAATAATAATCTGATGTTTATGGAAAAGGAAAAAAATGTGCGGAAAAGAAACAATATAAAATTGGTAATGATATTTGATTTTATTTGTTTTGTGATAGTATTCATCACGGACTGACATCAGTTGGAGAACCATTGGAGCACTGGATAGTTATTTCGTCCTAATACAGGCTCCTCAGTAGAGCACACCAACGACCTCGAAGGGGGTCGAACTCGGAACCTTATAGTCTCGTAGTGAACACATCAACCCCGTCAGTCAATGGGTCTAAGTCACTTGGCCTACAGTCCCCAACTTCCGTCAAATCATAATGAATAGTTGACGTATTCAACCCGTCGCAAAGATGTGGGTAAGTATTGATGAGGAGTCCAACACTACGACAAAAGAGACGTCTAGTGCTTTCAGGTCTTCAGTGGTTCTCCAACTTACTTCAGTCCATGATGATTACTACCTTCAAAATAAAAAAAATTACAAGGTTCAAGAAAACAGTGAAAAAATACACCACAAATATGGTTCATTGGTGTTAACATCCAACTCTCAAACAATAGATGCCAAGTTCAAATATCGCTTGACCAACTTTGGTTTCGGTAGTCAAGTACCTGTCATAATTTATCACAATAAATGTGGCTAATAACTCAGTAGGTAAAAACTTGCAGTAGATTGTGTTGCATAAGTGTACTCAATAAACTATGAACAGTGTATCACTGCATGTCTGATCCTTCAGCTAAGCAAATTGTCAGTCTATTGATAGTGAGTTTACACAGATACACTTGCCTTGGTCAATTTTTACCGTCATGTCAAGTCAACCAATCAGACTTCTATATTTTACGAAAATCCGCCTTTCTAGCCGAAATGAAGACACATAATTGGTCATTTGATTCGTTGCTAGAGTGACCTTTAAAGCCACTCAAAATAACCAATCACGTTTCGGTATTCTGACTGAGAAGGTAGGCTTTCATACAATGTCGAAGTGGGATTAGTTATTTTAGCAGTTGCTATTGTACCAATGAGCACCAATCTGACAGTTATATTGGATTTTTATTCAAATACTAGGCCACCCTAGCAACAACTGAAATGAACAATCAGACTATTCTATTTAGACTGGGTGATGACTGAAGGTGAATGAAAATTTGGACCGCTGCCAGATTCAAACCAGAGACCAACCGGTTTCCGGCCCAGTGATTGAAATTAAATTAAAGTGTGGTCAGTAGTCGGACCTCGTAGTTCAGTTGGTAGGGTATCGGGCCGGTAACTCGGCGGTCGCTGGCTCGAATCTGACCACAATCCAAATTTTCATTTCAACTTCAATCATCACCCAATATAAATATTTGTTTGCCAAACCATGGCTATATCAGATAGTCAAATGATAGACTACGCTCTCTTATGAAAATCTGCCTTTCCACAACCGAAATGAATTGACCTAATTGATCACTGTTGATCGTTGCTAAGGTGGCCTTTAAAGTTACTCTAATGTCGTCTCTGGTTAATACATAGATAAAATCGAAATACGTGGATATTGTACTTAAAAAAAAGAAAAGTGTGACTTTAAAGGCCACCTTTGCAACTGTTGGGACAACCAATTAGGGATCTCTATTTTATGAAAATCTAACATCCTAGCCACAACACTGAAACCTGACTGGCTGTTCCAACAGTTGTCAGGATGGCCTTTAAAGTCACTCAAAAGTGTACAATGCCTAAAAAGGTGTATCATGGTCAAGCCTCTAGAGAACAGAGAGGATGAATAACTTTAATGAGTATCTCTAACGCTCACCTTCGCAACAGGCAAAACAACCAATCAGATTTCTGTATTTTATGAAGATCTGCCTTTCAAGCCGAAATACACAAACCGATTGGATATTACAGTTGTTCCTAGGGTGACCATGGCAACTAATGAGACAGCCAACTCACTCCTTTATTTTACGGAAAAGTACTTTCCCAGGTGAAATACCAAAGTCCGACCGGTCATTCCACCAATTGCTAGGGTGCCCTTAAAGTTGAGGTGACTTTGAAGGCCATCCCGGCAACTGCTGAAATAACCAATCAGATATTGGTATTCCAGTCAGAAATGTAGTTTTTTATAAAATACAAAACTTTAATTGGTCAATTCAGTAGTTGTAAGGGCAGCGTACACAGTCACTCGATAAGATGAATGTTATACCTAAAACTAGGTGATTGTTAGTTTCCGTTATCCATGCATACCCAACATACTGACAGAGATTAGTGATACCTAATAACAGAAAGATTTGGAATCATCGTCTATCTAGCCAAACGATATGCTGTAAGTCAGTTTACAATCGTGAATTTTCTCATTTCACTGAGACATGAATTTATTAAATAACGATAATAAAAGGTAAGTACAACAGTTAGATTTAGAACAAAACTGTTATATCAGCTGAAAAGTTATTTTACCAAGAGCTTTATTGGTAACATTATTGCATAGCTGAGAGTTAAAGAGCTTTTCAGTAATCCTTCATTTATTTATGCATGACTTATAATTCGAGAAAAATTTCAGGCTGAATGAAATCAATCTATTAGTGTGCATTGTCTGATATTTGATCCTCGAAATCGGTCTTTTCATCTCTTTGTAAATTATGGTATGTTGTGGTCAAATAATTCAGTTGTCGACATTCACCATGAACTGAAATATCCGTTGAAGAACCATTGAAAACATGGGAGTACTGATCAGCTATTTCGTCCTAGTATAGAACTTTTTAGTAGTGCGTACTTATGACCTCAACCAGCCAGAGATCAAGCTCAATACCTCCAGACTCCACGACCCACACTTTCCTACTTCTGTCAGTTCGCAATATATAGCACGACTTCGATATAATGCCGTTGTTGAGGAACTGTCTTCACATTCGACTCGGTTCGCCCCACCGTCATCATAACTTCTTATCAGATCTTCGGGAATCTCAATCTCTAGGCAAGTTTATTATTAATAGCCACTAGAGTGAATCAACAGAATCATGTCCATCCATCCAAACCAACACATGACCAGGCATTACTCCGTAATGGTCCAACTTGCCACACCTCATATCAGTACACCAAGTAAAAAGGCAGTGAAGTGGAGGATAGAGAAAAGAAATATGAAGTACTCAAAGAGAGAAAGGAAGTATGAGCAAATGGTGACATTCAGTATAGCATCATAAAGATGAGGATGTGTGCAAACATCTGCGCCAATGAAATCGATTTTGAGCTATGTGACCACTTAGGGTCACTCTCCAACCACTGGTTCCTCTTGTCCCGCTGACCCCAACCACACAGTCTGCATCACCCAACATGGCTTAAACCAACAGTCGAAGACTTCATACACTGATGCCATGTTTTAGTCTGAACACCTTGAGCTTTTTTCCAGCCTCAACCTACTTCAGTCAACATCGTGTGACGGGGCAGTCGGTGAATAGGAATACGTAACACGTGTCGGAGCTAACCATCTCAGTCAATGAAGGCTCACGACCGCATCAACTGATTTATCTCTACTCTATAAGACTCTGCACCTGATTCACGTGGTGACACTTTGGAATACGGCGTATACTACGAAGGCAACGGTGGTCAAACACCTGAAGCCAACCTTCTCATATCTTTCACCTTCAATGGTCATGTTTCACAGCCATACAGTAGAACAAAGCGAACTGCTGTGCAGTATATGCTACCCTTAATCGACAATCGGATATCACGGTCGTGCCACAAGTGGCGTAAGTTGGTAAAAACCAGTTGAGCCTTTTGTATTCGTGTAGAGTTGATTCTACTTTCCAGATAATCAATACAGAATAAAAATTATGACAAAAAGGAATTGTTTTTATGTTATGAAAACGTACCGTGTGTTGTATATTTCAACATTCCATATATGCTGATAATCAAACCTAGAATAATTAGTAGTCGATGTATATTTCACTGATGATGGTGTTGTTGTTGTTGTTGTTGGCATCTGTCCAAAACGAATACATTGTATACATTCAACAGATTGATTTGATGTTATAAATTTATATAATTGCTTTGATTCATTATTTAATCTCTTTAAAATTTTAACTCTTTCAAGAATAGATATTATATTGACTAAATTAAAATAATTCTTCATCATTAAACAATAGAATTGATTACATTGTAATTCTGAAGGAATGAATGGAAATTGTATAAAATCTTCTGTATATTGATATATTGTATATTTAGTACTCAATACTCGTTTGTATATAGCCGACAAGACACGTTGATATAAATCAGGCATTGTACATTCTTGTTTGCCTGATGTATTTACCTAAAAATACGAATAAATACAATAATAATGTCATAATACTGTAAGAAGATATTAGTTTGGATATACTGCCTAGCTCGAATTCTCCTATATACTTGATTTTTATTTCAACGTGAATCCTCATCTTTAAACACTAAGCGCATTAGTCTGCTTAACTAGAATGATTATGTTAAATAGCTTACTGACTAAGGACATTCTTAACCATACAAATATATTGATGGTATTGCCTCCTTGAACAGAGCATACAATGGCAATTAACCCTCTACCACAACTTTATCGACTTCGAAAAGGCCTTCGACAGCGTCGACCAACAAGTAATTTGGCAAACAGCTGCTTCAACACTACGGAATACCATAAACCTTTATCAATCTCATTCAACAACTATGTGAAGACGCCACATGCCAAGTAATTCACTATGGGAAGCTCACTGATGCCTTTGAAGTAAAGTGAAAACAGGATTAAGACAAGGCTGCCTACTATCACCCATGATCTTCCTGGTTGTAGTGGACTGAATCATGCTACAAACAGTGAGGAGCGAGAAGAGGAGCATACGCTGGACCAGGGAAAAGACCCTAGAAGATTTGGACCTCACCGATGATGACTTGTGTCTAATGTCGCACAAACTTGAAGGTCTACAGGCGAAAACTAACAAGTTGACAGAAGAGGCAGGGCAGCGAAGATGGGACTACAAGTGAATATAGAGAAGACAGAGGTGATGAAGATACCCAACCACCACCAACAACAACCAGCTCCAATCACCATCCACGGGAGAAACTTAAAGGAAGTAGCCTTTTTCACCTATCTAGGCAGCACTGTTTTAACTTCAGGCGGCACAGGCACAGACGAGGATGTCAAAGCCAGCCAGGATCGAAAACACAGCAAAACAGGCATTCACTAACCTGAAACCAGTCTGGAGATCTTCTGCGACCAGCACCAAGAACAAGATCCGGATATTCAACACTAATGTCAGTCAAATCAGTGCTTCCATGTGATGGTTAAGAGACTTGGTGCGTTACGGAAACCGTTAGCAACAAACTACAGACATCCATCAACAGCTGCCGCCCGGGCTCGATACTGAAGATCAGATGCCCGGAATAATAAGAATAAGCAAGGACGAACTCTGGCAACAAATCAACCAAGAACCTATCGCCCAACAAATATTCAGAAGAGAGTGGAGATGGACTGGGCATACACGGAGAAAACCAATCGGAGATATTACGCGCCAGGCCCTCTAGTGGAATCCAAAGGGGAAGCGATGAGTTGGGCGTTTCATCTGAGTGTGACATGGAGGAGATCATGTGAGGAAGAAATGTACGCTTGTGGGCAGTTGTGGAGCCAGGTTCAAAATACTGCAGAGAAGAGAGTGAGATGACGACGTGCTGCTGAAGCTCTATGTTCCACTAGGAACTCAAGGGATAAATAATAATAATAATATTGCCTGCTCCTCTGAGCAACATAGTTTAATTCTGAAGCTTTTAATGGCTTCTTCGTAAACAACACCACCAGCGTTGAACATTTCATCTACTTCGCAATTTGTATCAGCCTCGAATAGTTCCAGCGAAGGAAGGTAAGTCAGTCAGTGATGCTATGAACCTTCATCGGTTAAGGTAGCTTGAACAGGTTTTGCAGATCCCAAGCGATCGACTACTTCAATGTGCCATGCTAGGAGAAGTTGGATTAGATTCAGAGATGGCTCAGGGTGGCCAGATCAAGAAGTGACATCAGTGCATGACTGTTCATCTGAGGCATGTGGAGAAATGTAAACTGTCTAGCTAGTGTCCCTAAGACGAATGGAATCAATAGTTGAGAAATCTTGGTGCAAATGGCTTAAACTCAGTCATAATGAAGCAGATGTATTCACTCCTTGACATCTTCTGAATATTTGCATTAACTGTTATCTTCAAATTGTTTTTTCTTTCACACAACTTTGTCTACTTTGATATCAGTTTTCTTCTATCCATCTGTTCTGAAGTGTGGTAACTTGAATTTATGCACTTGTGTACGAGGTTCTACGTTGATTTTGTCTTTTTTTTGCCTGTAGTAGAGACAGTACGCACGATTTTAATTAGCAGGCTAACTCGAACACCACAAAGTACCGACTTCAAAATCCCAGAGGAAAATAAAGAGAAAGAAGACTGGGCGGAATGAAAGAGTTTACCGCCTCCAAGACGATGATATATGGCCATGTCCAGAATTTAGATCATTAAAAAATATATGGACAACTGTCACCAGCCACTGAGTAACACTCGAAAAGGATGGCAGAAAGGAACCACTCGCCATAGCATAAAAAGAGTGTGAAGATGTACAACCGAAAAGTAGGTAATTTTCTATATAAATCTGGAGACTCTCAACAGATTTCTCCGTGAGCCATTCAGTATCTTCTCGTGAAAATTTATGATGCGATCGATAGTCTCCTTTTATTGTTGTATTATTGGCCATTTCCTTGCCTGACCTCTGACCTTCAGGTGATCATTTTCTTTATTGGTTAGGAGACTGAATCTGTCTGTACACTCATTGACTGGTCTAAATGCAGAGACTCTAGAAATACTCTGTGTTTCTTCCATCCAAGATTTCTACAATTTCAAAATCCACAGTTGTCTATATGTATTGATATAAGGGATGGGATGTCATGATGTTTAATTGCCAATTCATTTTCATAATGAATAACTATGATTAAAAACGTTAGGCAGGAAAATGACTAATGGGAAACTCAGTTCAGTCACTGATATAATAACCAAAGGAAACTCCCAATCACACGTCATGACAGTTAACTGAGAAATCCTGATAGCTTACTTCATATGGAAGAAGAAAGACAGAGAAAGCTTCACAAGCAAAGCATTTGGTTAGGAGAATGAAAAACCGCCACGATAATCCATTTCAGCTTCAAATACTCTTCATCACACTAAAACTATCCTACTTGTGGTTAGTAAGCAGTATGATAATTTGTGGTTAGACAAAAATCTGATGTTACAGCACATTCTAAGACTGATGAGTATTAATGAAATGGTCGAAAAGATTCAGGAAAAAAAAGATTAAAAGTGAAACCAATTCTGGTTTGTCATACCAAATGTGAGAAATGATACATACCTATTCCATTGACAACCGTATTTCAGTTATGCGACTCACCGTCATTTGAGGATCTCAAAGACGCGTCGTTTTGGTGATGGTCTCCGAGTAATCTTTCTCATGTCCATCCGCCCAAATCAACATAGGACCAGGCATTACTGCGTAACGGTCCAACTTGCCACACGTCATATCAGTACATCAAGTAAAAAGCAGTTATATGGAAGATGAAGAAAACAAAATTCGGTCAAAATAAATATAAAGTACTAGAAAAGAGAAAGGAAGAATAAGAAAATGGTGAGATTCGGTGTAGCGTCGTTAAGGTGAGGATAATGTGTGACAGGATACATATGCGCCACTGACATCCGTTCTCAGCCATATCACCTACTCTCCAACCACTGGTTTATCTTGTCCGACGGACCTAAATCGGTGAGTCTGCATCACCCCACATGGCTCAAACTAACAGTCGAAGACTTCATACATTGATGCCACGTTTTAGTCTGGCCGCCTCGAGCCTATTTCCAGTCCTCAGCCAACATTGTACGACGAGGCAGACGGCGACTACGCATACGTAACACATGTCGGAGCCAGCCATCTCAGTCGATGAAAAATCACGACCTAATCAACTGACTTACCTCTTCTCCCCAAGACTCTATACCTGACTTCTGCGTTACTCACGTGGTGATACCACGGAGTATGGTGAAATGTATTGACCGATACACATAAGTACTTCTGGAAGTAAATGCATAAGGAGGATTTAGAAGATGGTCAGGTCCACTGTACCTTTCTAAAGCTTCAGACAATTAGATATTATGTATCTGACCCTTGTACAGGAAAAGGGAAGATAATTAGTCTTATTTCACCTTAGAAACTCGATATAATTCTGAGTTATATCAGTTTCTATGACATTTGTCTCGACGTTTTCTGATTATTCTTAGGTCTAATTAATTCCTCGACTACATACCAAGTCTCTTCCCTTGAATTATCTAAGATTTTTATAGACCTCATATATACTGATCTCATGTATAGTTTAATTATACGCATTTGATGAATATCTGCGAAATAAAGTGAGATCATTCCATTCTAGAAATCTGTTCGTTTTCACTTTGTTCATTACACATCCGTAATCCATAAGTCACATGTAGAGTTTTAGGAAGAAGGAGAAAGTCAGTCGGTCGGGTAGTGAACTTTCATCTACTCATATGTTTGGGAAATGCTATGTACGTCTAGTTACCGTCTACCTCAATGAACGATGTTAACTGAAGTAGGTTCAGTCCAAAGAAAGGTTAGGGGCCGGTCAAGGTCCGCATAACAACTGAAACTAGTAATTAGAGATTCTTGATGACATGGCTCAGAATCAATCTTAATGTTGTAAGTGTAACCATACATTATCCTAATCCTAATCGCTGTAGATCCAATCACCATCAACGGGAGAAACTTAAAGGAAGTAGTCTCTTTCACCTATCTAGACAAGGTAGCATCGTTTCAACTACAGGGTTGCGGCACAGGCACAGACGAGGACGTCAAATCTAGCCAAGATCGGAAAGACAGCAAGACAGGCATTCATTAACCTGAAACCAGTGTGGAGATCTTCTGCACCACACTGCACTGCACTCAGCATAAAGCCTGAACAACATCCCGATTTTCAACACCAATCCAGTCAAGTCAGTCAGTACTTCTATGTGATGGTTCAGAGACTTGGCATGTTACGAAAAGCATTTCCAACAAACTACACACATTCATCAACAACTGCCGTCTACGCTGACTCTTTTACTGAAGCTCAGATCAGATGGCCAGAATAATAAGAATGAGCAAGGGGGAACTCTGGCTGGCTGACTGGCTGGCAACGAACCAACCAACCAACAACCTATCGCTGAACAAATATGCGGAAGGAAGTGGAAGTGTAGATGGATTGGGCATGCACTGAGAAGGCCGATTGGGGACATCACGCATCAGGCTAAGCACTCAAGTGGAACCCAAATGGGAAACGACGAGGCGAGGGTGATATGGAGGAGATCGTGTGAGGAAGAAATGTAAGCTTGTGGGCAGTTGTGGAGCCAGGTTCAAAATAGTACAGAGAAGAGAGTGAGATGACGACGTGCTACTGAAGCCCTATGTTCCACTAGGAACCTAAGGGACAAATGACATAATAATACTCGCTGTCAGAACTCAGCACTATTCAACTCCTCCCTCCTGTTTTTCGCTACTGTCTCCTTTTGATCGATTTTCCTTCCTTTATTCATCTTCCATTTTATTGCCTTGTTACCTGATGTGCTGATATGATATGTGGCAACTTAGACGGTTACGCAGTAATACCTAATATTGATGTTCAAAAACCATACTGTCTTACTTAATAGCTGATTATAGTAGTGTTATATCCTGTGAACTGGATAGTGTAATCACTCAGCTTCTCACCATCACTTTAGATAAGATCATCAATAAAATCATGAGAAAGAAGTCAACGAAGAGAACTTCTTAATAGTTTATTTCCAGATGAACTGGGAAATATATACACTTGGTTGTTTCCGAAATCTTGTGCAGTTGTGTCTGTTTCGATCAATGGCTGTTGAGTTGACTTGAGTATAATGATCTTACAGGATTTAACCACTCATCAAATCAGTAACTAATATTCATCAAAATTATCCTCTTAAGCTATAAATATTCTTCACAATCCTAAGAACTGATATTTCCTACCAAATAAATACTTCATGTTGTAACAGTCAGTCAGGTCGGGTCAGTCCATGTCCCCACACTTTATATCAGAACACCAAGCGAGAATGAGACAAAAATGGAAGATAAAGAAATGAAGGAGAGAGCAGTCAAACGTGGTAAAAAGTCGAGATAAGAGAATAAGTAGGAATGAGACAATAATAGAAATCTGATATGATGATTCTGATGAAGATAATATATGGACACAATGGTGCAAGTGTGATTGATTCTGAACCATATCACAATTAAGTCTCCAATCCCTAGTTGTCATCACACAAACCTCAATCAGGTAGCCTACACAACAAAGATCAACAATCAGAGACTTGAACAGTCAGCGACAGTCACTTTACCATCCTGAACTTTAATCGATAATCCACTATATCCTTAACTGTCTTGTTATCCAATAAGAATGCAACCGTGAAACCATGTGCGGTGGGTGGATGTATTGATCTACGAACCGCAGTTACTACATATGTCGGTTAATAAACCTACTATCTTGCTGGTATAGCGGCATTTAGACCTGTGACTTACTGACTGACTGGCAGTTCGGCCTAGATAAATATGCCACAGAACCAACCGACTGACTATGATGTATCAAGGATGAACCAGTTTTTAAAAAAATATAATTTATCAAACTAATACTTGAAAACTTTAGCTATGAACCATGTCAACTAACATCTTCAGTCAATAATCTAAGTTACCACACTGGCAGCAATCATAAAGTAAATAAATCTAGAAATGATGGAGGGGGGGTATATTTCTACTTCAGGATATGAATGTGCAAACTGAATTCTTTCCTAAGCTGTTTTCATTGGTGAACACTTAAAAACCAAGCTAGGCAACGTCATCCTTGCTTCACAAGGTAGTAAGCAAAACTCAGGACCAATGAATATTTATTACATATAACTTTGTCTAAGTTGAACTTGATTTGTCATTTGGTAAGGGTGTTTAACCTGATTGGTCAACTATCCTTGTCTGAATGAAGGACTCAAGGTTGACTTGATCTCATTGGTTGACTCTTGTGTACTGAGACAACATGCCTAACTCTGATAAGTTTCATTTGAAAAGCAGTCCGCGCTAATTGGTTGGCTTGCTCCGCCCATAAAAAGCAATCAAATGACAATGGTAAAAAATATTCACTCACTTGGAACAAATCAACCAATCACTACTAAGCACCCAGTTTCAGAAAGACAAACTGATCGAATCAAGACAATCCTAATCAATCGTGTTAAGTAATCACGACGACGTGGTCTAAATGTAATGTATTCAAATAAAAGGAGTCGATCAATGACTTAGTCGCCCATCTCTATGCAAAAGCCAGAAGAAAAGAGACAACCAATCAAAATTCAGGTGAAGTAGCACGTTATTAGTAACCATTCACTGTCAATTTACTTCACTTCCCTGTAGAGTATTGATGCGTATAGGTGCATCACTTCAAGTTGCCATACTTCACTGTAATATACTCAGAACAAGTGGATAGAAAAGGAGTGATATCAAAGTGGAAAAAGCTATATGAGAAAATAAACAATGAGTGCAAATATTCAAGCTTTAGAAGATGTCCATTGTAACTGATTTCCAGTCATGTCACCAAGATTCCTTTCGCCTCGTAGGCCCTACCTAGGTAGGTTATATCTCCCAAAACAGTTCAAACTAACAATCAAGGACTCTATCGACTGGTGGAGCATCTTCGTCTGGCCACCCTGAAACCTCTTCCAATCTAATACAACGTCTTTTAGCATTGTACATCGAAATAGGCGATAGCTTAGCATACACAATACATGTTCAAACTATACCAGTCGACAGGGTAGTGTTCGAACCCATGAATCACTAATCCACAGGGTGGAGGGTGTCCAAACCCATAGAAACCAATTATGCGTTAGTTAAAAGTTACCTGTCTACAGAAATGATTCATATCTTAATAACAATGATACCTTAAAATGCATAGGTTCATTGTGTAAACCAGTGATTTGACACTCCATAGATATATAAGCCAGATAATGTAAATCATGTAATAATAATAAGAAATTGTTTCCATCAAATTGTCTCCCTTCATTACAACATTCACCATAGCATTGAATCGGTTTGCCAAATGATCGAATTGACTTTAGACTATAATGTGAATTGTTAGCAACTGTTGAATATATACCAGGAATAAGAATAGCATACAACTTCGTACATTCATCATCAACAGCATGATAATTAATGTTAAAACACCAAATATTTGATAATTTAATATAATCTGTATTCATTAACATCTTTGTAGATTGTAAAGCTTGAAAATTATTGAATAGTAGATAATATTGTTGAGATAAATGATAATTTATACATTTTAATTCTATAAACATTCCATTGGTATGTACACGTATAATATGGAAATTCATTGAAGGTATTAATCCAATATGAGATGATAGACATTTAGGAGAATAACATGAAGGCATAGTAGTGTCATTGTAGTAATAAGATTCGTAAAATGTTTCATCTGGTATAAAAACCCATACTTTATTTTCACGATTCTATTGAAAAGAAAAGAGAAGAGAAGACAAGGCAACACTATGTTTACACAGAGACGTAAATTGTCAATAAATAAAAAAAACAAGTTGAAAATCTTTACAATTTCAAGTTGTTATTCGAACCCGTGACCCACACTACTAATTGACAGTATATCATTGACTTCCATCAGATAATTAAATATTTCAAGTTCAGATTGTAGATTTTCTGGCAGTTGAAACAAATTGAGAAAATTTGAAACAGTTAGTCCCTTTTACGAATTTCAATAGGGTAATTAGAAGATGAAGTTTATCTGAACAATGTGTGTGATGTATTTGCGCAATACACATTTTAGAACAATCTGATCCCTCACACATTTACTTGTCTCAAGTCAATATATATTAAACCGAGGACTGGGAGGGGGGGAGATAAATAAAACAATTAACACAAGCAGGGGATTAAAATTAAGAAAGATGAAAACGAACAGGAAGTGACATAGTTGATCCTAATCATGGTAAGAAAACAAAGTTTATCAAGGGGTAGGTGTAGTATGTAAGAACAAACTGTTTTTGTACACATAAAGGTGATTTCAATTTGTGTATGACTATGGTTTCTGCAAATCTCAGAATACGTCCCTGACTGTTTCTATATAAAACTTGGAAAGCTGTTTGAACATCAACTTTGTGACCTGTTTCTATGATATGTTTAGCTATAGATGAAGACGGTCGTCTCCGACCAGCTTTTATCACAGTTTCACATTCCATTTGGTTTTGAAACCATTTAGGCACTACTCGATACTCCTCCTTATGTATATGTGACCACAAACACTATAGGGTGTGATGTAACCACTGATGCAGTGTTTAGGTTTTGGTGAAGCATGTGTTTTGTTTTCTACAATGGTAAGATTAGCTGCGTAATATGTTTTCCTAATGGCTGATGTCAGCCTACGTCTCAAAATGATACTATTTAACTCCCATATGTATGGTAGAGTGATATGGACGCCTAGCTTAGGAACCGTATATAGAGTTGGCTTTTGTACTATCTGACCTCTACAACGGTTTATAAACTTCGTCAGATATCCATTTTCCATAAGTGCTTTGCTCAGTAATTTGATGTCTTCATCCGCATCTGTACTGATACGATAGATCAGAGGTCAAGTAGCACCAAAGCCAACTCTATACACGGTCCTTCAGAAAAGTGGCCATATCACTCTACCATACAGATGGGAGTTATTTAGTATCATTTTGAGACACATATTACGCGGCGAATCTTATCATTGTGGAGAAAACAAAACACATACTTCACCGGAAACCTAAATACTGCATCACTGATTACGTCCCATTCCATTGTGTTTACCAATTTACATGTGTGTGTGGTGACACATACATAGGGAGGAGTAATCGAGTTATGTGCCTAAATGGCTTCGAAAACAAATGGAGTGTGAAACAGTAATAAACGCTGGTGGGAGACGACCCTCTTCATCTATAGTTAAACATATCATAGAAACAGGTCACAAAGTTGATGTTCAAACAGCTTTCCAAGTTTTATATAGAAACAGTCAGGGACGTATTCTGAGATTTGCAGAAACCATAGTCATACACAAATTGAAATCACCTTTATGTGTACAAAAACAGTTTGTTCTTATACACTACACCTACCCCTTGATAAACTTTGTTTCTTACCATGATTAGGATCAACTATGTCACTTCCTGTTCGTTTTCATCTTTCTTAATTTTAATCCCCTGCTTGTGTTAATTGTTTTATTTATCTCCCCCCCCCTCCTAGTCCTCGGTTTAATATATATTGACTTGAGACAAGTAAATGTGTGAGGGATCAGATTGTTCTAAAATGTGTATTGCGTAAATACATCAGCTACATTGTTCAGATAAACTTCATCTTCTAATTACGCTATTGAAATCGAGAAAAATATCAATGTAAAACATGGCACAGAAGTGCATCGATTTAAATTGCTACACTTCACAGTAGAATGTAACGAACAAGTGGATAGAAAAAGTGATATCAGAGTAGATAAAAGTGTATGAAAAGATACAGAAGGTTAATGAAAATATCTAAAACTTTGAAGATGATAAAGATTGAATCCATTTTTTATATGGTTGGAGGCAATCGGTAGAAAGCCCTGCTCGTTAAGAATTCTCAACTGTTGACGCTAATCATCTCAACAACTGCAATCAGACAGTCTACAACTTCCATATTAGATTTGTTTATTTGATATACAGCACATACTGATACAGTATTATTTACTTGATTACGTTTCGAGCATAAATTATTGCTCATAATCATGTCAATGATATGATTATGAGCAATAATTTATGCGTTGTCCACTATGCCACGGATGAACGATAGCCACTTCTTGTACAACGGGTAGTAGTTATTACTATTTATTGACATACTTGTTATTCTCCGTTGTTTTGTTGGATCCAATTGTTCGACCTCTATTGGCATATGCGCTCCTATGTGGATACCTCGATATTGCCTGAATGTTAATTGGTTGGTTGTGGCTAACGTGGGTGGATTGACTGTACGACAATAGGCAAGCCAAATCGCGACCAATCATGTTCAAGATCGGAGTTAGACTCAATCAGTAGAATCATGTGCTTAAGGCAATAACAGTAACAGTAATAATATTGGAAAATAAACAACAACAATAACATTGATAATAACTCACTTGTTTATGATAAATTCTACTTTTTTTAAGTTTAAAGATACGAATCCAACTTCTTAGTCGACATTTGTTTAAAAATTCTATACATTTATCTTTAGTAGATGAAAAATCACAATGATCTACTATCGGCCAATTGACTAAAACATGATAGACAGGTTGACAAAAACAGTCTACATTTGAAGTGATTTTAATTAGTACAGTATACTCTGATTTAACACGAAATTGTTGACTGATACATTGAATAAATCCAGAGATTTGAGATGATGATGATGATGATGACACGGATACTAATGATGACGTCTGTAACAACGACTGCGACATGTTATTTGCACACAACAAATAGATTCATAACCTATAAAAATGGATAGGCGTTAAAAACTTATAAATCACATAAAATCCTATTCTATATAGCAAAATTAGATAACTAACTGATGTGATAGTCAGACGGTTGCTTTACCTAGTCAGACCATTATCTGTATGTCCACTGATCAATGAACCTTCAAATAATGGTTCGGACCCTTTTCATCTACTTCAATATGAACAACATGATAGTATCATGAACTCTCTCTCTCTTTCACACACACAGATGTAACCAATAGCTCAACAAAGAAGTCTGTTACAGTTTAAAGATTTCACAAACACGACAGAGTTGATAATGAGCTGAATACGCTTCAACAAATGCTTACCTATACAAAAAGAATATCAGTTGGTTGAAGACAATCAGCAGATAGTCCTACTTCACTTAGATTTCGAGCTTGTCGACACTAGTCAGTAAGTTAAATCAATAACCTCCAGGGAACTGATTTCCCCTGTGAGATTCGAACCTACTTCACCCGGTGTAGTAGTAGTCAACAGAGTAAATAATGAGCTATTAAGACCACTTTGATGGATTTTAGTGGTAGCGTCACTGACTACAACACTGAATAACGCAGGTTTGGATCTCATAGTGGAGGTTGCAGATACATCTTGCTGACGAGTGCTAACTAGCACGAAACTTAGGTGAAGTAGGGATTCCTACGAACTGCCTTCAACCATCAAAGTGTGTTACGATGGTGAATGAGCCTTCTAGTTTGGTAGCCACACTGCGAAAATGATCGACATAATTCAGTCAGCATTCAAGAGTAGACAACATGAAGTTGATTACTCTCCAGTGATAGATCAATGTGACAGAGTAGGTAACTACACCTGTATACTTCATTCATTTTTCTATTATGTCATAGATTGAACCTGCATTACGTAATTACAATCTTATTTACATGATCCCCTGTTTATTCCCATACTTTGTCATAGGCTTATGCGGTATTTCATAATCGCAATTCTATCTTCATAACCCTTCGTTCAGTTTCCTACTTCGCCATACACTTATCCTGTATTTATGTAATTACATCTAATTTAACAATCCCGTGTCTATTTTTCTCACTGTAAACTCAAATATGTATTAATTAACTTCCTTTCGTCATTCAATATATTTTGCCCCCTGACAGGAAACAATCCTGAAACATTCTACCCACTGTAACATATATTCATGAATGTACAGCTTAGTAAATGATTTCATCGAAAAGAAAAATTTTTCTTCGCTAAAACTATGCCTTGTCTTTTCCTATAATAATAATAATAATAATAATAATAATCGCTTTATTCCAAACAATATGTATGACAGTATGGAATTCTAAACATGTAATTTTTCAACAAATTCACTCCCAGAACAATACTTTCAAATGAAATGGTTATTGCATCTGTATGATGTTAATAATAGCAACAGTATTCAAGGCAATAATACAAAATAGCTAACTATTTCTAAATGGGCATCCGTTCCATAATGAATGATAAACAGAAATGCAAGCATGGTTGTGGTAGTTCATTCAGATGGTACAAAAATCTATAACTCAAGCTAAGCATCTGACGGATAAAAATATGATATAATTTTCTGCACTGAAAATTCCATTTCCATATAACGTAACATTTTTTTCTCTGCTTTGTTATTGACTCAAGAAATGAAGAGTTGAAAACAGTTTAAAAATGTGCCAGAATACATGATACATTCAAAGAATATATCTAAATGATTAAAACAAATTGAAAGGAAAGAATTTGATGAAAAATATTCGATGGATAAATTTGATAGCCCATGGTTTAAGCAGATCGATAAAGATGGTCTCAAAAGGAGAATGTGAATCAGTTATAAGTTCAACTATTTAACATGTTTAATCAATTTTTGTCATATAACTTCAAAAGAAGTAATACTCTGAAAATTACTTTATACACAACCTCAAATGAAAGTGGAAGTTATAAAATGGTGCATGTACTACTCAATCCAATATCTTTGTACTTCTGAATTAATTATCATTAAGTAGTTCATTTTTATCACCATTATAAGCAAGACAGTGTGGAGATCTGCACTCAGCATAAAGCGTGTACAACATCCGGATTTTCAACACTAACATCAAGTCAGTGCTCCTGTATGGTTCAGAGACTTGGCGTGCTACCAAAGGCATTTCCAACAAACTACACACATTTATCAACAACTGACTACACTGGCTCGTTACTGAAGCTCGGATCAGATGCCCAGAATAATAAGAATAAGCAAGGAGGAACTCTGGCTGGCTGACTGACTGGCTGGCAACGAACCAACCAACCAGCAACCTATCGCTCAACAAATATGCGGAAGAAAGTGGAAGTGGAAATGGATTGGGCATGCACTGAGAAGGCCGATTGTGGACTTCACGCATCAGGCGAGGCTGTGGAGTGGAACCCAGATGGGAAACGACGAGTTGGGTGTCCGAGATGAGAGTGACATGGAGGAGATCGTGTGAGAAAGAAATGAGAGCTTTTAGGTAGTCGTGGAGCCAGGTTCAAAAGATTGCAGAGAACGGAGCGCATAAAAGACATGCTACTGAGTCCTATGTTCCACTGGGAACCCAAGGAACAAATAATATGGAATAATAATAATAATAATAATAATTGTCCAGATCTCGATAGGCGGAGCAGGATTCGACATTATAATGTATCGATTGAAAGTCAACTGTCTTGAATGACACAGTGAAACTGACAAAATCAGCTGCAATATCATCTCCATTCCATTTTTAAATAGCCAAACAGAATACAACATCGTGAATAGTCAAGAGAATGTGGCATATTTTATTCTCTCTTTATCACTTGATCCGTAACAGCATATTAGAGAAACGTATTACAAGTTACAAGTGAAAACTGCCCCTGAAAACATCATTAAGTATTCCTATTGCATATGATAGTGGAATAATAGTCGTTACAACTTTGAGAGAAGAAACTAATTGAACCACGCTAAAACACTGACGGAATATACTCGTTTATTATTGCAGAGGAAACTATTTTTAGATAGTTCAGCTAAGAAGACAAAGTTCATCTGAACAATACTTCTGATGTATTTGCGCAGACTATTCTGAAGAATGAATAGGAGGATAAAGAGAACAGTTAAACTAATAATATGACGCTTCCTCCCCTCTCTGGTTCAGTTAGATTCCAATTGGGATGAGAAGTTCTAATTAGGCAGTAACCAGTGTGAATACGATTACGAATTCACATAGTAGTCAGGCAAAACAGATGGTCCTTGAAGTGAAATAAAATAAATCTGGTTAGCAGTCGGACGTCGTAGCTCAGATGGTAGAGCATTGAGCCAGAATCCTGGTGGTTGTCGATTCGGGTCCCGTCGCGGTCAAAATTTTCACTTCACCTACAATCATTACCCAGTGTAAATACTAGTCTGCCAAACCGCGGCTGCAATCTAAGATAATGAAAATGATGATGATAATAATAATAGAGGGGTTGAAATTAAAAAAAGATAAGAAAAAAGAAGAGTAACACAAAATTGATCTTAATTTTGGTAAGAAAATAAATTTTACCAAAGTAAGTTTAGTCTAAAAACAAAAAAAGTGAATTCAATTGGTATATGGCTATCGCTTCCGCAAATCTCACTATGCGTCGAAGACCGTTTCTATGCAAAACGTTGAAAGCTGACGCATATCCGCTACCACAATATATTCATTATTATTATTTGTCCCCTGGATTCCTAGTGGAACATAGGACTTCAGTAGCATGTCTTTTATGCGCTCCGTTCTCTGCAATCTTTTGAACCTGGCTCCACGACTACCTAAAAGCTCTCATTTCTTTCTCACACGATCTCCTCCATGTCACTCTCATCTCGGACACCCAACTCGTCGTTTCCCATCTGGGTTCCACTCCACAGCCTCGCCTGATGCGTGAAGTCCACAATCGGCCTTCTCAGTGCATGCCCAATCCATTTCCACTTCCACTTTCTTCCGCATATTTGTTGAGCGATAGGTTGCTGGTTGGTTGGTTCGTTGCCAGCCAGTCAGTCAGCCAGCCAGAGTTCCTCCTTGCTTATTCTTATTATTCTGGGCATCTGATCCGAGCTTCAGTAACGAGCCAGTGTAGTCAGTTGTTGATAAATGTGTGTAGTTTGTTGGAAATGCCTTTGGTAGCACGCCAAGTCTCTGAACCATACAGGAGCACTGACTTGATGTTAGTGTTGAAAATCCGGATGTTGTACACGCTTTATGCTGAGTGCAGATCTACACACTGGTTTCAGGCTAATGAAAGCCTGTCTTGCTTTTCGGATCCTGACTTTGACGTTCTCGTCTGTGCCTGTGCCGCCTGTAGTTGAAGCAGGTCTGTGTCTAGATAGGTGAAAGAGGCTACTTCCTTTGGGTTTCTCCCGTCGATGGTGGTTGGAGCTTGTTGTTCCTGATTTTGTTGGTTGGGTATCTTTATCACCTCTGTCTTGACTATATTCACTTGAAGTCCCATCTTCGCTGCCCTGCCTCTTGTGTCAACTTGTTAGTTTTCGCCTGTAGACCTTCAAGTTTGTGCGACATTAGACACAAGTCATCGGCGAAATCCAAGTCTATATATATATATATATATATATATATATATATATATATATATATATATATGTAGATTAGATAGATAGCTGGCACAGTTCTTGTAATTGTCTTCTAGGTTGGAATAGGTATGAAGCTGTCTAACGGAAAGGGTTCTACAAAAAATTAAAGGATGTTGAAACCCCTTCTTGGTGATTGCAGAGATCTCAACATCCCCATAAAATCATTTACTAAGTCAGGAACAGCGTGACAGTAATGTTTAGAAAATCCCATCAAGTTTGGGCACAATACCATTTCAACTATCCCAATTTGCGTGGATTGGAGATGAAGTGAAGACGTACAGACTGTAGACTCAAAGTTCAGCCAATGAAAAACCCTTTTTCATATACGTTCCAATCACTTCAGTTCATTTGTAGAGAAGCTGTGAGTCTCTAAGGTATTCAT